GACCATGGTGCTGCATAGGAAAATGATGTTTTGCCAAGGTTTGTTATATTATTGATACAAGGTTATAATATTATTGATACAATATTAGTCAATATTAGTCTATATGTTTATGCCAAAAGTGTCATAAAAATTTCAGCTTCAACTGAATTCAAACAACATAAACTAGACCCCTAATTATAGTCTTTGCTCCTGACCTTTACATGTGGGTTCTTGGGGTCACTAGAAACTAAATCACAGCAACTAATTACATTTTTTACTTGTATGAAGGTGTACTGTGACATGGACTCAGAAGGAGGACGCTGGACGGTGAGTTGTTCATCATTACTTGAAATAAAAAAACAGTTCTTTTTTATTCTTAGAATACCTATACCTAATGTAAAAGAGTGAAAATAACCCCAACTTCTCTTTAGCTTGAACTGACAAAGGAGTCATTTTTGTTTGACTGACCTCTGTTTTTCCAGGTTTTCCAGAGAAGAATGGATGGCTCTGTGAACTTCTATAGGCCCTGGGCAGAGTACAAAAGAGGCTTTGGAAATGCTAATAGCGAGTACTGGCTAGGTAAGATGTGCAATTTCAATTCAATAAAAAAAAATCTTTATTGAAAGGAGAAAATATATCTTGTAATAACTCATAATTACTTTTTTCCAACTAATTATTGTTCTTTTTCTGTGTCATTCTTACCAAGGATCATTTAACCAACAGTCAGAAAATGTTAGGTTTATATCTTAATTGGGCTAATAAGAAAAATCAATTCGCTGCCTTTTTTTCTAATATGATTGCTGGTCCATGTTATTTTTTTTTTGTTACAAAGCTTTGATATCTACACTAACAGGACCTACAGCAGGAAATAAAAACCAATGCCTTTGATGCCCCACTAAACATTTTTACTGTCTTCATACCTGCTAAGACATAAAAGGTATGAAAATACCAAATATCACTTGTTTGAATACCTTTACAGGTCTGGATAACATCCATGAGCTGACCTGCCTTGAAAACCAGGAATTAATGGTTGACATGGAAGACTTTGAAGGAAACAAAAAATTTGCTCTTTACTCTTCATTTAAAGTGGATAATGAGTGTGAAGGTTACCGCATGCAAGTGTCTGGCTTTAACAATAAGGGAGGTGCTGGTGAGTCATGACTTTATTTTTTTGTTCATATCTTATGTAAGCTGCTTATGTTGAGTGGAGGTTTTGGGAGACCCAAATGCTGAGATGAGGGAGGCAGAGATGAGTTCTTGTAGGTCTAATGTCCAAAAAGCATTAAATAAAGCAAAAAAACATAATGATAAATACATAAAACCAAAACCTAGGAGACATCCAGGAAAAACCCATATGAGGAGCCAGAAAATGATGAATAACCAGCAAAAAGTGACTGAACATGAGGTGTTTAAATTGGTGACTGAACAAAGACCAAGCTAATCGGCAGATTGGGAGCAGGTGTGGACAGAGGAATCAAGAAGGGAGCTAGGAGAAGGAGACTGACACAAGAAGGCAACAGAGGGTAAACAAGAAATACATAAGAACTCAAAAATATAACAAAAAATCACTAGAATAACAAAAAATAGAAGTGAAACCAATACACTATAAAACAAAGAAAGACATGAATCAAAATATAACTGAAAGCTAAAAAAAAGAAAACTTAAAGAGAACCAAAAAGTGCTGTCATGACAGCTGATAGTTAAAGATGGTGAATACAAGCTTACTTCATCCTGCGTCTAGTTTTGTTGGATGTGTGAGATGCTAAGACATCAGATGACTTCTGAGATGACACTCTTGATGTCAAGAAGAGAAAAACCAATTAATCCCAAAGTTTGGTGAGCTCTATATCCCTTTGGATTATATTTACTGATAAATGACAACATTATAATAATTATTTACTATTATATTTATGTATAAATGGCAGCAATATTTAGCAACACATTTAGTTTTTAAAACTATGAATTATCCATATTTTCCATCATTTAGCATTTTCAGCAGGGATATAAAAATAGTTATAGTTTTATAAGAATTAAAAGAGTTAACAAGTTATAGCAAGCAGCATGGCTAGCCAGACTAGCCACAGATGCATGGGTCCAGTAGGCTATAGGCTATAT